ATCCATCCATCCATCTATATATCATCCATCTATCCATCCATCCATCTATATATCATCCATCTATCCATCCATCCATCTATATATCATCCATCCATCCATCCATACATACATATTTTCATCTATCCCTCCATTTTGCCGTACGTTTGTCTGTCCCCGTCCCTGACCTCTGACCTCTGTCTCAGTCCACATCTGTATCCTCGGCTGCAGCACTGTTGTTCTGGACTGAATGTTGCTCAGAGGTCCAGAGTAAATGATGCTAATGTGTAGAAATGGGATTATTATTATTATTAGGAGGCTGTGTGTCATCAGTGTGACTGATCCACTGTCAACAGACACCAAGCAAATTCAATTAGACTCTCAATGACTCCCCTGGCTGCGGTGCATACGTTAAATATTGATGGAAACATACAGAGGAGGACACGTTTGCTCCTCTGGAAAAGGTGAAAGCAACTCCTCCAGATCAGAACATAGGACACAGAGAGGATGAAGCATCTTTTCTCGCATTGGAAAAGGAAATGTGTAGGTTAAAGATTAGGTTAAAAAAATATATAGATAAACACAGAGAAGACCAGATGTGTTCTTAGATTCTGTCTTAAGAAAAAAAAATGTTTCGCATGATTTGATCGAAGCTCAATATTTTACCAATGTGTACAAAGTAGAAAATACTTGCTGTGTAGATTATGATGAGATTTGTTTTCCAGACTTACCTGCTGTTAAACTTCTCCGGGTGTTTCTCCCTCATCACATGGAAACGATGTGCTATGGAAGCATCCTGAGGAGAGAACATCAAACACATGTATTTAGTTAAGACGGAACAAGGACTGTGTTAAGATATTAGGATTTGTGTTTTTCTAAAAAAAAAAAAAGAAGAAGAAAATATTAAGATAATTCAATTTTAGCTAATTATAAGCTTTTAGAAGAAGAAACGCACGATGACCATGGAAATAAAGCATGAAATGGTCGATAAATATGAGCCTGGTGCCTGCTAAGGGAAGAATACTAATCGAAAAAATAAAAAATAAACAAATACTTATTGTTAAGTTAATTCTAAATTTATGTACGTTACCAAGTGCAAGTGTACAGTACGCTATGTAATCAAGTGTCTACGTACAGGCCAACTCTCTTCCTCTCACCCTCCTCCTCCTCCATCAGCCTCTACTGTATCGTCTGTCTCGAAAGTCAGAACTCATAATTAAAATCAACATTTTATTTTAGATCACATTGATCCTTATATACTATCATTTTTTGTGTGTATGTCTCTATAGCAATTAAAAACATGTTTTTTCCATTGTTATTAGCACTAAAACAAATTTCTCATTATTTCTTATGGGAAAAAAATTATTCAATTTTTTTCCATTGTTATTAGCACTAAACGAAAAAACGATTCAAGTTACGAGCTCGGTCTTAGAACAGATTATGTTGGTATCTCGACGTTCCTCTGTACTTGGTTTTGATCACTGTTCACTATTCAAGATGTTCTTTTTATATAATCTCCTTGAAATGTTGTCAATTCATTTTTAGCACCGTTTCAACTGTTTTGACATTTTCTTTTTACCCGAGTGGGTTCGAGGACGGGTGACGCTGAGGGTTATCGACAGATAGATCCTTGATGAACAGCACGACGTCTCCACACGAGCTAATTAATGAAGAGGCACTGTGACTAATCACAACTCCAGACTCACCTACAGGCAGCTGGAACACTCTGGAAACAGTCACCTGGCTCTCCCCACATCTGCTCTTTACTCTTGTGTTTTGGTTTGGTGTTTTTTAAAGGTGTTTTTAAATCTCTGCCTGGTTTCATCTGGACTCTAACCCACAGCCTCATCACCTTAGCACCACCTGTCACGGTGGCGCTAAGGATAATGTTACACATAATGTCACTAATGGTGATGGTGATGGCGACCCAGGATCCTAACACTACCTCGGTCTGGTATCACTGTGATCCAGACACCACACAGTGTGAACCCAGGCAGCCAGCTTTATTAATAGTAGTTAAAGATGTGCAGCCTGAAGGATCCGACCTTTGTGTACTTTGTAATAGTCTCATTTTGTTTTTGTTTTTTTGTCATTAAGAGATTCTTGTTCTGATGAAGGAATTATCATTAGTATCAGTTTCGGCTGACATAAAAAGATTTGTTTTCTTCCATTTATCATTAACATGATCTCTGCCTTAATTAGTTATTAGTTACTTCGCAGCATTGTAAAAACAACTTGTCACCGGAAACCTCTGCAACCATTATTTTAGATAAAATAATTTAGAAAAAAATTAGAAAAAATAACAGTTAATTAAACTAGAAAATGACATGTATTTATAATAAAATGGAATGTTAAATATATGTACAACACTCCATAATAATAACAATACTTAATAATAATAATAACAACACAAATAATAATAATAATGATAATAACAACAACAACAATAATAATAATAATTAAAATAAAAGTACACTTTTTGCAGTGAAAAAATAATGGATACTTTTCTAAATTATCAAACGGTTAAATCTATGGAAGTGTTTTCTGTTCAAGACAGAGAACAAGTAAGAGCAGCGTAGAGATGACGGCTACTTTATTTGTTTAGTGACCTAATGTGAATGGGCATAATTTATATTTAACATAAACACTCACGCCCCTTATTTAAGTAGTAAAAAAAAATATCTGTATTTCCACTTTTAGAAGTTTAGTTTCCTTTACACTCGCCCTCACTTCATTCATTTCTCAATTCCGTCTGTGTGCGCACCTCGACTGCCCCGCTGGTTGGCTCACCATTTACACCACCGCCCTCCTTCTTTCCCCTCCACCGACACCTACACCACCAGCGCAGAAACCTGTGGCTAAGAGCTGGCTCTGATGAAAACAGTGTAACTTCCCCTAATTATACTGTAAGAAGGCAAAGTTTCACTGTAACAGCAACTATTATCAGTTACTGCTGTAATGACAAGTTGGCAATGGCTTTTTTTAGATTTTACTTTTAAAATATTTGCTAACTCCATTAGTAGCTTTTGTCTTACCGTTAGCTATTTATGGGTTTTGGTTTTTTTTTTCAAACTTATTTTTTCTTACTTTAGACTGGATTAGACAGTGTATTTCTTGCTTGTAATCTATTCTTGGTGCATGCTAATGCTAATACACACACACACACGACCACTGACCAGAAGATAGCAGTGACTCAAGTCCACTAGATGTCTTTGCCCCCTACTGGTAGCGATTAAACAGTTTAGGCTAATAATGTATTTTTTTCTGATTCATATGTTCTATTGAGTTAAAAAAAAAAAAAATCACAGATCATCATCAGGTTTTCTGATTCATATGTTCTATTGAGTTCAAAAAAAAAATCACAGATCATCATCAGGTATTGATATCGGTACTCCATAAAAGCAATCGGTATCGTATCAAAATTAAATTTTCTTAAATCCACGTTCAAGGCAGAAAAACTCTGGCTAGCCGACGGTAAAACTGCTCAGCTAAGAAAAAACCATCTCCTGAATGTTGATGTAAACTTGGGCGCAGTGACAGGTGTGGGATTGTTCGTGTTCTCCACCTGTTTCTGACCTGCTTTGTTTTCAACAGCAGCTTCAGGGACGACCCCCTGCTAGGAGGAGATAAGACAGAGACGGGGAGGAGAAATCAATGCGGCTTCTCTTGATGTAAGCATCAACCATAAGGGTTGTGGGAAGATCCCTGAGGCAAGACTGGCCTCCGTCTCTACAGTAATTGAAGACGGAGAGGCGAGGAGGATGATGGAAGTATCTGAGAGAACCTTCTCGGGGTTTTCTCTTTACAAACAGGACAAAAGCTGCAGACTAGAGAGTCAAAGCCGCGAAGGCTTGTCTCCCCTTTGGTTTGGACTCTTCTGTTTGAGATCTCTACAATAGCTTTTTGTGGATCCTGCAGAAGTAAACAAGGATTAAAAACAACTCCCGCTTGGGTTTTTGACTCTGACAGTGATGCTGCTTTTAAGGACTTCAAAGGCCTGATGATGAACATTGATGACATTAATATGGATAATTTTTTTTTTGAATTACTGAATGCCAGAGGTGTACTGTCAAGGCCAGCAAGAACTACTCTGCTGGCCTAAACAGTACCAGATTTAGTGACTTGTTTTTTTTTATATTTAATGAACATTGCATCAATCATTCAATCATTCATTTGTCACTATATTCACAATTTTGTCCAATCACATTTCAGCCTGATGTGTTGCCAGGTTGAAGGACTTCAGCCCCAAGGCCAGAGCCAAGGCCTTCCATCAGGCCTACCGTTATGTTGGTGATTTAAGTGATTTGATTGGCTAACTTTGGACATACCATCTGTTCCTATAAGGATAATATTATTCATTTGAATTGATTCGGTATTTGATTTTATGTTTTCATTTTTAGCTACGGGCTAATGTTTTAGCTACATATGGACCGACTTCTGTATTTGGCATTTGTTTTGCCAAATCCGACTAGCGTTTAGCAGTTCATCGAAAACCAATGAGCTGTTTTGTGTGGTGGATATGGAGTTGGTGGAATCTTAATCTTTGATTATAACAAAACTTGAGTTTTTTCTATCTTAATCTTTGATTATAACAAAACTTTTTGCTTTTTCCTGTAACATTTGTACACGATTATGCGGCTTTTAGGCTAACTTTTAGCTGCCTTTGCTAAATGATCAACTTTGGCTTGTGTTATTTCTGTGTTACCTAATGATATATTTGAATATACACGCAGTAAGAATTCTCTTGTCAAGAAAAATGCAAATAATAATACTAATAATTTACCAGTTTTGTCTTACTTCAAGCTACTATATTTCTCAGCCAAAAGTTTAAAAAATGTAAACATTAAAAAAGCTGCCATTCATTTGAACACATATAATAGGTGTCTCTGAGAGACATCTGACAAATCTCCATCTTAATCTCACTTACAGACTCTCCTCTCCCATTTGGTGTCCTCCAGTAATTACCACTGTTCAAAACCTGGCACCAAAATGATACAGGGCACAACCCATGTCTCCTCATAGCTCAAAGTTTCCAGCGATTACAAATGGACGGCAGCCTTTTGACAAGCCTTCCACCAGCCTGTTGTAGAGTAATGGCTTTGACAGGAGCGACATGGGGGTGGACAGTGGGGGTGTCATTAGAGCAACTGAGTGACTGACTGCAGTGATTCTCACTGATTAGTTCTGTCTCTCACCCCTGGCTCTGATTGAGATCATTACACTTCACGTCACTTCCACATCCTCCCAAAGGGATGATGTCATTAATTTTCCGTTCAAAGCAGGGCCGTGGAAGATGATTTTAGGTTCAAGGAATATTTAGGAAAAAAAAGATAAATGACCTGTCCTGGGAGGGATTGAAATTAACAAAAGAATTTAACCCTAAATATTAGGCCTAGGCTGCATTAGAAAAAAAAAAAAAACTAAAAGCCTAAAATCAACAATTTTGTGTATGTGCCCTTTAAATTAGTGTTCCCTAAACAGTTTACAATGATGCCTGAAAGAGAAACATTTTTAATGTCGCTAAGAGTTAGCATACATTCATTGGAGGTTAAGGTTATACAAAAAATAATAATTAAAAAAAATCTTTTAGATTTGGGTTATCCAAAAATACTGTTGAAAGCAGCTAAAAATAGCACAATAAATAAATAAATAAATAAAATAGTGAGCCAAAAACTGTTCTCCATACAAACTAGTGTGAGGAACTAAATAACAACAGGTAAGTCAACAGAAAACTGCTGCTACTACTAAGATAGCATGTGGTTCCATAGTGTAGCGGAACCACATAAATACACTGACAAATATATTATACATATATTTAAATGTATTTTTGCCAAAGAACAGCAAAACAAAAAAGGCCAAAAATCTTTATAACCTAATCAGTAGACGTTGCTGTTTGAACAGCCGTCACAGAAATGATCTTCTCTCTATCTGCATAATCTCTCATCTCATTATCAGCTCGAATTATCGCATAATCTTCACTGTGTTTTTTTTTTTTGGTTAATCCATTCAATACAAAGGCACATTCAAATGACAGCAACAACAATAGTAATAATAATAATGTCACACTTGAATTCACACAGACCTCAAGGTCTAATCAATAGACAAACAACTTCATTTGATGGGTTCTTAGCCTCCAAACAACAGGAGACAGAAGGACTTATGTATGAGTTTGAACAAATTTGACTTTGTTTAAAGTTGTGGGCTGGACTTTTTTCAACTTTAAAAAAAAAGCAGGCACCAGAGCCACAGCAGGAGGGAAACAACAACAGCAGTGACGCTGTTATAGAAAAAAGTGCGCTCTTTCAAAACCGAGTCAAAGAAGTTTGGAACAGAGACCTCTAGTGTTCGTTTTCTCACATCCGCGAGACAGAACCGACCAAATCCGATGCTTCAGTTCAGAGTTTGACCACACAGACTTTGACAGACGGTTGTCAAATACCAACACTACCCCAGGTATTTTTACTCAGGGTCACTTGCATCACTCGCACCGACTAAGAGCAGTGAGCGCCAACTGATCTTTGCTCATGAAGTCCACGCCATGAGTGGTCACTTTTTTACATCAAATCTTAAAATCCAAGTTGACTTTTTCCATTGAGGAAAATGCAAAAAAAAAAATATTACTAAATACATTAAGAAAACAACTCAAATTAACCAACAGTATTTTGTAATTCTTGGGACATCACATACTGTAGCTTCAGAAACTGCAGTGACTTTGGACTGACCCACTAAACACTGTCTCCATCAATAAACCGACAGGCTGTTATTAAAGATAAAATCATAATAAAAATAAACCTTTACAGCTCCCACAGCATCTAGCCTAATCATTTCCTTCTTTTTTTTTTTGTTTTGATCACACTTTGGTTAGGCCTTTATTGAGATGCACTCTAGCTCCAGGCGTATGGTCAATAAACACAGCTGGATGTTGCGTCTGTAACTCCCATCGCCACTCCTGCGGTCCATCTCTGGCATAATGACACTGATTTTACATGGCTCATGTTAGCCATTACTGGAAAATGTCAGGGGGAAATATGGTAATTGACATTTGCCGAGGAGAGAGTTGTGGGATTGGTAGGGACCGTGGCGAGGATGTAAAGTGATGCATGGTCTCACAAATGTTAGTTGAATAACACCTCAAAGCCCTCTGCTGCTAATGACCAGGTTAGAGGATATTAGCTGACAACCCTTGTTAACACTGTGATTGAGCAGAGTGATGGAGGTGATCTGCGTGTTTACTGCTGAGCACCAACAGGAGGAAGTTGTCACAAATACATCTTTCCTTCTTGGTTGGTTTTTTTTTTTTTTTTTTTTTTACAGTTAAAGTTTATCTTTTGATTTGAAATAAATGCTGCAAAAGTGTGTGTTTTATGCAAGAAATATGAAGAAGAAAATCATTGGTTTCATTTAGAGAATGCAAAAATGCTTGATGTTCAAGTTTAAATATGAAGAAGAAAATCATTGGTTTCGTTTAGAGAATGCAGAAATGCTTGATGTTCATTGTTCAAGTCCCTATATTTTGTTTTGCAAGTTTTGTGCAGTGGTGGGTAGTAATGAGTTACATTTACTTGAGTATTTGTTTAAATATAAAATACTTTTAGGAGTAGTTTTAAATTACTATACTATATATACTATATAGTATATATTTTAAGTTATTTTGTTAATATTTAATTTTTATGTACTATATTTCATTGATTTTTATTTTTTATTAAAGTACTTAAATTTACCTCAAGATTATTTTATTTTAAGATATTTAATTGATTTTTTTTATTTTATTGGATAAACTCTCCTCTCTGTAATATGATTAAAAGCTCATTAAAAAACAAATCAGCTGTTACTCAACACTTACTCAGTACTGGAGTAGTTTTTTCACCAAGTACTTTTTTACTCTTACTTAAGTAATTATTTAAATTACTATTTTTTACTTCTACTCAAGTAATATTGTTGAAGTAGCAGTACTTTTACTTGTGGGCCGGTTTTGGCCCGCGGGCCTTATGTTTGACACCCCTGACCTCAAGCGTCAAATAAATAGTCTGTCATTCAGCAACATGCAGCAGGTTACTTTCTCACTCACTCACCACTCCGATGGAGAAGTAGTTGTTGATGATGCTGTAAGGCACGACGTCTCCTCGCTCCTCCTTGTCCGTGGGTGTGACATCAATCTTCCAGCGGTCCAGCATCACCTCAGAGCTGTTCTCAATGTCCCGCAGAATCTTTAGCAGGCTCTCCCCCTCGTAACCTATTTAAAAAAAACCCACCAAGTCTAAAAAAGACATCACCTCATGCATACAATCACATGTTATCACTTTTGACTTGTTCACCTATCCAGGATCAAAATAAACAAATCATGTTGTGTCGTTTTTGACTGTCAGTACCTCCGCCCCATCGCAGACATCTCGCCAGGTCGTTTCCTGTTCCCAGAGGCAGTATACACACAGGCGGGTTCCTTTCCAGGTTGGCTTTGTCTGAATCAAACAATAAAATAAAAAATATTAAAATCTAAAACGCATGCATATTTGATCTATTTCAGCTAAAAACTGATGCTGGTTAATCACTACCTTTATGGTGTTATTTTATATTTTAAGATATAATTTACTAAAAACAAAATAAAAAAAAATACTGAAGAGTCTCTCAGATTTGAATTTATCAATGTAAGCTGTTATTAATCAGAAATGTCTGCCTGTAAAAAAAATTTAAATTTTTTAATAAAAAAAATATTTTATATTTTTTTATACTTTTTAAAATTTTTACTTTAAAAAAGTACATTTTTTTACAGTAAAACGTTTAATTTTTGAAAATTTTAATTTTTTACTTTTTTTATTAGAATATTACCCATCTAGCATTTTCTACCCTAGTACTTCCCCCGTACCCAATTCTATATACAATATCTATATAAAATTAGCTATTTTGAATTAACAAATATAGGTTTTATTTATGAAATTAAAGTGTAGGTAAAATGGTCTCTTGATGTCATTTAAAAAATGTTTGATGAACGTACATTTTGTCAAAAACAATGTGACAAAACCAAAGTCTGTGAAAGACTTGTCCAGAAAGAACCAAATTCATTTTTTGCAGCACTCACTTATAGAAAGTACAGGTGAGAATGAGCGGGCAGTCGGTCCAGACTATTTCAGGAGACACATTTTTGCCTGATGGTTATTATATTTCTCTTGTTCTGATTGATAAAAAATTGAGGCAATTTATGAGAAGCCAAACAAGTAGCACATCTTTAGGAGCAGAGAGAAGGTTCCAGGGGATTTTTTTCCCCCTTTCTCCTTCGGCCGTCAAATGATGGCTACTAATATGTTGTTTTCTCCCACACGTAATCATCCTATTTTACCACCTCCCAAAAATACGCAGGCTACCACGTAATGAAAGTGTTTATACAGGAACGGAGCGAGGGATACACTTTACAATTTCTGTCTGAACAACAGCGCTGCGGTCCACTCCGAAAAACTAATAAAAAAAAAAAAACGAATGCAATTTTACCAAAAAATAAAAACCAAAAAAGTAATAGAGTCTTTAAATTATGACATGTTTATTAAATTTCACAGGCTGTGTAATTTACTTTTTCAACCAAAGCTGGGTTTGAGGCGGACTTTTCAGCCGAGTACTTATAGCTTTTTTTTTTCTAACCTAAGGGATTTCAGAGCAAACTTTTAGTTTTCTTGAGGCTTTCGAGCTCCTGCAGCTTTGTTCAGCTAATTTTTTGCTACTATTTTCTGTATAATATTTAGCTTTCTAGCCCACTGTTAACAAATGTGTTAACAAAATATTTGACCTTATTAAAGGGGTTGTTGTCTAACTTTTGCAACATTTGCTTTTTAGCACTATTTAGCTTGTTTGGCTAATGTCTTGCGGCTGGGTCTACCGTTTTGGCCATTTCCATCGCTTTGGGCTTATCTCCAGTAAATCATCAGTCTGGGCTAAATTTAAACAATGCCTGCAAAATTTTGAAAGTATTTGTTTATTCTAACCTACCTTAAATTTTAATTTGGCTTACTTTAAATATTAACTTGTTTTTGCACACACGTAACATCCATTAACCAGCATTATCTACTGCTTATTCCCTTTTGGGGGCTCTTTGTAATTTCCATTTTAATACGCTGGTAATTCTGCTAAAAAAAAAAAAAATTAAAAATAACATGTCACAAGATGAAACAAGCACCTTAAACTTTTTTGGTACCTATAAAATCCAGAATCCAGCCAACAGTGCCATCACCTCCACAGGCCAACACTCTGAAATTGGGGACATCTCTGAAGAAGTTCAGCCTGAATCAAAGTGAATCAAAAGTTTTTCGATTAATTATAAGAATCCTCGATATACAGTATAAAGATAATGAATATACTGCATACCCTCAAATATTCCTTTTGGCAAATAATTGTGAAAATTTTATAGATTGAATTTAAAAAAGATTTTTAAAAAAACCCACATAGTTAAATAATCTACAAACAACAGGTTTGAGACACGTGTGTAAACTGATTGTTTTCAGTTCATCAAGAACTTTGACTTTTTTAAAAAAAAAACCCAAATATTTTATAAAAAAAAAATGTACCTCAAAAGACAAAACAAACCTGTAACAATATTAATGAGAATGCAGAAATGATATATTTACATGACTTTACATGTGAGGTAATGTGGTGATAGTGTCATTACACTATCACCACATTACATCATAAAGTTTCACCTTTAGTCTGTCTTTAACCAACAACAAAAAAAAATCATTAGAAACTGTCCTCCATTAAAGCCTGTTTAAAAAGTCTGCAATTCGTTTTCACCACAGTCCACAAATCTTTAGTTACATTATTCTGTGATTTTATGTCTTGAAAATCGGATGAAATCTGATCAAAAGCAAAAGCAATAGACCAGTGATAATCAACGGGTGGCCGCAGGCTCGATCCAGCCCGCTTAACCGTCTAATCTGGCCCGCAACTGGATTTCAAAATAAACATTAAATAATAATGTTAGAAAAAAAACATTTTTGTTTTTTTATTTGAGCGTAAGGTCCCCAAAGTGTCTGTCCACTAGACACTGGTGTGGGTCGGTGGAAAATATTCAAGGAGTGTGTACATCGTTTTTTTTTTTCTATCAGGTAAATGACGTAAACCTGTTACATTTACACACATGTTAATGGTCCAATAAACTTTTGGCACTTTCTGTCGCTGCATATAGAAATGCTCAGTTCATCGAAGACTCCAAGAAGGTAAGGCAGCGTTCTCTCTCTGTGCTTTCCATTTCCATTGTGCTCATCATTTGCTTTTTTTTTTTTTTTTTTATTAAAATGCTCCAGAAACCTGGCTCTGCTTCATTGATAATAAGACAAACTAACACATGCAGCTGGGACAGTCTCTCCTGCCTGGTCCAGGCCTAATTGGATCAGGACAGGCAATGTTCAGGCCGACGTCTTCCGTTCCTTCACAATAACAGAGCAGCTAACTGAATGAGCCTCGTATGGAGAGCTAAATGATCGGCTCAATTACTCTCCGACTGGGAGCAGAAACCACATTAGGGTCCAAACAGACAGCCGCCGACATGAAAGACAACTTTGACCACATTCAAATACCAAGAAACAAACACTTCATTTGCCGTAATCCTGTTAGAGAAGCAGCTAATTGGCAGCAGTGTGTGCGGCTGCAGTGTCCGACGATGACCGTTCACCTTGCTCTAATGATGCATGCTGTTATGTGTGTGTGTGTGCTTACAAGGAACAAGCAGAGCACCGAAAACGTGATGTTACTGCTTATGTAAAAATCACTTAAAGTTAGATGAGAAATGTCTTATAATAAGACAGGAGGTAATTAATAGTTAAATTCTCTCGATAACAGAATGATAGACGACATCAGATTCTACCTGTTATCAACCAAAGCACAGTGACTAATAAGTAGATGGAGATCTACCAGTAGATCGCAAAGGAAGTGCTGTTGGATTATGAGCAAGAAAAAATAAAAAAATAAAAAAAAGGTAAAAATAATTCTCTAGAGTTTAATAGTGATCCTGTACTGTAAGAATTGAATGATATTTTGCCATAAAGCTACATAGAGTAATTCAGTAGCCCAACATATAATGTATGTATAAACCCTTGGTCTGGAGGAACGTCAGAAGATGAGACTTGGGGTGACTGTAGACATGTGAAGGTATCATAGATGTAGATTGAAGTTTCACAGAGATCTACTGGATAATCCTGTCAAGATTAGCTCAGTCGAAGTACCAGGAATACCCCAAAGGTACCTTAAGAACAGCCAGAAAGTAAATGGAGAGGAACAGATCAACGATACAGCTAGGACTAGAAATATAAATGATAAATTATTATATATATGTATGTATGTATACATATATAAATATATATACATATATACACATGTATGTATATACATATATATACATATATACACATATATACATATATACACATATATATACATATATGTATATGAATAAATATATATATATACACACACACACACAC